TTTAATGGTGTTCAACAAGGGTGTCAGTCCACACAGTGGAGGAAAAGGAGTCTCTTCAACAAATGATGTAGGAAAAGTGGATAGTTACATGCACAAGAATGAAGTTTGAGCTTTATTTTACATTACAGACAAAAAATGAGTAAAGACCTGGACATAAGACCTAAAACTATAAAACCCTTAGAAGAAAGCATAAATGACATTGCACTTGGCAATGATTCTTTGGATATAAAATAAAAAAGCATTTTTGCTTAACTAAACAAAAACAGACAAATGGGACTACATGAAACTTCTGTCCATAAAAGGAAACAGCAGGTTAAAAAATCAACCTATAAAATAGAAAAAGATATTTGTAAGTCATATCTTACAAGAGGTTAATATCTAGAATATATTAAAAATTTCTATAATTCAGCAATACCAAAAACAAATAACCTGATTTAAAGATGAACGAAGAACTTAATAGACAATTCTCAAAAGAAGACACAAGAATGGCCAAAGAGCATGTGAAAAGATGGTCAACATCAGTCATCAAACACAAATCAAAACCACAATGCAATATCATCTTATACCCATCGGCATAGCCACTATCAAAAGACTAGAAAGCAAGCTTGAATAAGGATACAGAGAAATTGAAGCCCTGTGCACTGGTGGTAAAAATGTAAAATAATTCAGCTGTTATAAAAAATAGTATAAAGCTTCCCATAAAATTAAAAATGAATGATTGTATGATCCAGCAATCCCACTTCTGGTACATATCTAAAATAATTCAAAGCATTATCTTATAGGAACACTTGCACACTCATGTTCTTTGTAGCATGACTCACTATAGTCAAGAGGTGGAAGGATTCCAAATGTCGATGGACAGATGAATGAATAAAGAAAATACAGTATATACATACAATGGAATATGATGTAGCCTTAAAAAGAAGGAAACCCTGTCACATCTTACACTATGGATGAACACTGAGGACATCATGCTAAGCGAAGTCAGTCAGTCATAAAAGGATAAATACCATATAATTTCACTCATATGAAGCATCTGAAGCCATCAAAATCAGAGACATAATGTAGAAAGGTGGTTGCCAATGGCTGCAGGAGGGGAAGGAGGAGAGGGAATTAATGTTTAATGGGTATAAAGTTTCATTTTTAGAGATTCATTGCACAACAATGCGAATATACTTATCACACTAGTAAACTACTTAAAAATAATTATGATGGTAAATTTAATGTACTTTTAAAAAACTGCAATAGAAAATGAAGGTAAAAGTACAATGTCTAAAAAATATATCCTCATTTTGAGGATATAAAGACAAATTAAACAATATAAAAGAAAAGAAATGAAGTGATTACCTAGGTTTGAAATGAAAAGATCGCTCTAATAGAAATGTAGGCAAAACAATGGTTAGATGAATAAAGGAAACAAAAACGTTGTATGTTAATTTCTGTCTAGTCTTTCGATGTCAGGTAGTTCCACTATGATCTGTTCATCCTTTTGTGGTCTAAACTATAGTTTGGGATCCTCAGTGGACCACTGTGATGGGACATACAGTTCTCTGGCAAGTTGTACCAAAAAATAATTCGAAGCCTCACTTTATAAATTTCAACATTTTGACCTGATTTACATTGCTTTTGTCAGGCTGGGTGTGACCTATAGTATGGACACGCCAGATCTTAAAACCAAGACCTTTTCTTAATTTGTGGAAAATATAACCAAAATGCAGACACAAGGAGGAGCAATTCAAGGAATATGAATCAGCAGAACAGGCATGCAGAATTAGGTCTCCATATTTTCTGACTTTTCCTTCGATTTTCTGATGTTAAACACCGTCCTGGTGGGAATGGAGAAATGAAGCACAAGTCAGTAGGTCTTGGATACCCATCCTTTTCTGCCGCCAGTGGGTCATTTCTCACTGTATGCTGTAATTCCTCTGCTCACTGATTTCTTATCTGTGCAGTGTGAGTCGTAGTAATATAATTATTAAAAAAGAAACACTGATCATGTGCCTCCTAGGCATGTTTCTTTTACAAGACATCGTCTTAACCATGAGGTTGATACTTTACTCATCCTGGAGCACAGATGAGGAAATTAAGGATCAAGGATTATTATCCTGATACAGCTTACCCAAGGTCATGCAGCTGGTGGGTGGTAGAAACTGTGCAGACACTGAACTTGGGCTCCCAAGCTGTGACATTGCCTGCTTAAACCATTTCTCTGTACAGTTCTAATGCAGAGATCTAAGCTGGGAAATAAGTGAGAGCCCACTAAGCACAAGGCATTCAATAGTTGTCATACATTATATCACAATAACCCTTCGGTCATGATTCTCCTATTTGATTCTCCTTTGTTTATAAAACAAGTAAACCAAAGGTCAGCGTTATTGAGTCATTTAATCAAAACAATGGTGGAAGCTGAATTTGTATCAAGGCCTCTCGGTTTACCACATCTCAAGCACTCTGTTTCACTTGTCTATGCAACTCTCTACCCCTCTGCAGCCATCAGACAGAGACAGGTTTTGCAGTGATTGAAATGATCAGGTCTTCCATTGAGTGCCAGCCTCCAACTCGTTCTATTACTGTAGTTCATTGATATGGAAAAATCTGCCATTATTGGTTACTGTAATAATTTATACTTTGTCCCAAAGTAGTTATTATTGTTATAAAATGTTTTTCATTTTTGATATGTATTCTTATCCATTTAAAATGCATTTCCTAATTTGTTTTAGGAGAACAATTAAATATAATATTTTAACAATGAGACAACTGTTTTCTTCTGGAGAGCTCAAAACTGTCCCATAGACAAAGTGATATTTCCTTCAAAGGACTGATAAAATTATTTAATTAGATAATAAAAGGCAAAAAGTATGTGTTCAATAAAATTTAATCCCCTTCAATAATTAGTTAACATAAACTGTCAATTTATATCTGCTTTTTCTTAGCATATGATTGAAAAAATAAAATCAGGATTGCAGGTCTAGAAACAGAATAAACACTCAAGCCATGACCTTTATTTTATTTTATTTATTTATTTGCTGAGACGAAGTCTCACTCTTTTGCCCAGGCTGGAGTGCAGTGGTGCAATCTCAGTTCACTGCAACCTCCACCTCCTGGTTTCAAGTGAATTCTCCTGCCTCAGCCTCCAGAGTAGTTGGGATTACAGGTACCTGCTACCGTACTCTGGTAATTTTTGTATTTTTAGTAGAGATGGGGTCTCACCATGTTGGCCAGGCTGATCTCGAACTCCTGACCTCAAGTGATTCCCCCCACCTTGGCCTCCCAAAGTGTTTGCTTTGTTTTCCTAGGTCCTAAGTTTTTTGCTGCCACTGATAAGAGTCATAAAGGAGGTATACCCTGATTTAGGGGCAGTAAGTCATGTAAAGAATGATGAAACTGGAGTCCAAAAACAAAACAAACAAACAAAAAAGTCCGGTTTTGAGCATTAGCTTACTAACTCTATGACCTCTTTGAATCATTTATATTTCCTATTCTTGTTTCTCTTGGAAAATAGGAAAAGAAAAACTATCCATTCTGGTTTGTTTGCAGGCATGAGCTAAATAAGTATGTTTAGTTTTTATGGGTATTTCTGTCATTTCCCCACTCTTTCATCATTCCATAAGAAAATGTTGTTAAAGGCTTATGTGTCTTCCAATTTGTAATTACCAAGAGGTGCTCGAGAACTCCAGGATTTCCATTTCTATAAAATCTAGCACATTATCAGTAAAACCTCTTGACATTTATTTAAAATAGATTATTTTTCTGCTATGAACCATGTGACATGCTTCTTGTTATGTGTTAGTAACTCCATTATTTAGACGTTTTAAAATTCCATTCAAGAAATAGTTGTATCCATGGACCAGCCATTCAAAGAGCAATTTTTCTTTAGTCATTGATCTTTCGAATTCAACTTTATTCCTCTCTCCTTTAAGCCACTTGAATTACATTGTCACATTGCTCAGTGGTGGCATGAATGTATATGCGCATGTGTATGTGTGTAAGCGGGGGCGGGGGGGGTCCCTTTCTTCAGTATTCCATCATTTGCTACTTTGGGCCTTTTTGGAAATGTTATTAAAAATTTTGATTATAGAATGCTACTGCATAGTCATAGCATGATTCATTCGTCAAAATAAATCTAGTCAAAGTGTTTTCATTTGTAGGTTTGTACACCTGAAGGATTAAAATAAGAAATGTTAATTTCTTGCCGACTATTACCAGATAATTTTAAATATCTGCCAAGCAGGAATGTCGGTTCCCATGTGAGGAATTTCCATAATAAGATCCTGGCACCCTCGCTGAAGAGTATAGTTGTATAGAAACAGAGAAAAACAACAGCAAGTTATTTTCCCCGAGGACGGTTTTAGCTACAATTTCCCAATGCTACTTAGTTATTTCTGTCTTATTTTATGCTTTTGTTTTGAAACATCATGCCATTTTACCTGGATGCACTCCCGGATAATCAGGAATAGCTCAGTATGTTGTCTGGCTCTGCCAAATGCAGGATCTGCAGAAAATCAGAAGGCTCCACCGCCTGGGCCCTTCCCCCACCCACACACCTCCAGCTGGGAGAAAAGGGTTACGGATTATTGGAAAATAGAGGAGAAGGGAGGGAGCCCCGAGGAGGCCCGCGAGCGGGAGGCCGCCCCTCCCGGAGCGCTGCTGTGCGTTTGGAAGGAAGGATGCTGCTGCCAATTTCTGGGACCGCCGCTGCGAGGAGTGGGCGTGGCCTCGGCGGTGTGGGTGCTTGTTAGGCAAGAGGCTGAGTGCTCTTCAGTGAGGAGTCAGGGCGGTGTGTGTGAGAGAGAAGGAGAGACACGAGAGAGAGAGAGAGAGAGACACGGAGAGCGAGAGAAGAGAGGGAGGAGGGAAGGAGAGAAAACGGAGGGAGGTGAGGAGGAAGGGAGGGAGCTGAAGACCCAGACAGAGCCAGGAAAGCGACCGAGAACAGGACTGGAGCGCTCCGAGAGCCTCCCAAGATCTTTTGGGGGAGCCCAATCAATGTGAACATGGGATCTGTCACCGGAGCTGTCCTCAAGATGCTACTTCTGTTATCTACTCAAAATTGGAACAGAGTCGAAGCCGGGAATTCCTGTAAGTATAACCGCAAATGATTTAAAACTTGCAGGGGGGCTCTCTGCAAAACTTTGATTGTGTTGTTTTGATGATGATGATTTGCAGCTGGGACTGCTGCAAAGCATACTGCTGTAAACGAAGCATCACTTAGAAATCTTGCCAATGTGACCGGTTAACACTTGTCTCTTCTCTTGGTCTGGTCAAAACAGGCAAAGTGTCATTTCTCTTTTTGTCTACTTGCAGAATCTTACCCTCTGGTCTTTGAATATTCATTGAGAATGCCCAAGTTCTAGTAAAACATGAAATTAGCATCTTATCTGGGGAATAGCCTGTGAATGTCTTCATTTCTTTGTTTTTAAAGAACTACTGAATTTTATTGGAATTATGTCTAGTAGGAGAACAACCAGTAGACTTTACATTATGCTGCATTGGCTTAGATTTCTGAAGTTTTCAGTTGGGCAGACCAGTAGCTGGCTGCATCTTTAAAATGATGCAGGCTAATAACTGAAATGTACTGCAGACTTCGGGAGCACCAGTGCTGGCAGAGGCAAATCTCAGTATTAAAAGCTGTGCCCTCGCTGCTGTGAGAATGAGACTTAGCGCTCTCCTGAAACAGGGGCCTCTTCCTACATTTTGCTTAAAGGAAAATCAGTCAGGTGATCTTTCAAAAGTAGGATTATTTCATGGTTGAAGAATGTTTAACTCCATAAACTTGTAATTGAATGTTCCGATGAAATAGAACCCATTCAGGGAAGATTGAAACCTTATTTATAGTTTAGATAACATCCAGAATAATTTGGTAGACTCCCTCATCCACTCTTTATTAGAGATAGAAAAAGTTTTAAAAGTTATCTTTGGCTTAAATTTTCTAAATGGGAGATTTCCCCCCTCCTGATGAATGACAAACAAGTTTGGCAAATACAACTTTTTATTTTTTCTTGGATTTTAAACGAAAACTCATTTGCTTTTCAAGAAAGGGCTAGGAGGCCTGTCCAGGAATTTATGTTGTTGCTGTATCATCAGGTTTAGATTTGGGGAACAGAAGCAGTCATCAGGCATTTGCTGTGGCACATCACTTGACTACGCTAAAGAGCTCTGATGTGGGAAAAACATTACAAATTCATGGGCACAAATCAAATGTCGGCTCATGGCGCCTGGCTCCTGTGATTTCGTGTTTCCGTTCGGATTGAGCTCATTTAATGTCACAGGGTATCCATCACTCTGAAAGAAGGGAACTTCACTGCAGGTGCTGCACATCAGATTCAACTTTAGTTTGAATGTTGTGATAATCTCATGAATCAGTAAAATGTGTATAATTTCACCTAGTCAAAACCTTGGAATCTTATAACGGTAGCATTTGACAAACATTTGGACATACATGCAAACAACAGCAAGACAAACGCCCACACACAAATGGAAGTTGTGTAGAAAAGGCATAAGTAATTCATCTTCCAACCACTGAAGTTCAACTAAAAAGAAATGCACTAGAGGTCAGTCTTACAATGTAAAGCGCATCACCCCAAGCATTCTTCCCTCAAGAAAAGCAGAGCTTAAATCTGGCCTGTACTCAGTTCAGTCTTTCCACTAGATTGCCTGTATTTGGGTTTATAATATATTAATCTCATTAATCGGGCTGCTGGTTGTTTATGTTTCTTCGTCTTCTTGAAGCTGAATAAAAAGCGTAGGATGTGCATCAACATGAAATAGCTTTCTTTTGCAATATAGCTTCTTAGAAAAGAAAAGGTGCCGAAAAAGATCTGAGGAGAGTTTAATATTTATGACTGCTTGGCTCTGGTTGGATCCCTCACTAACACTTAAAATTTCTGTGCTGGTTGTATATTCTTTCAGCCTTGGTGTGTTTAGGAAGTAATCTAATGCTCTTTTTTAAACATCTGATGAACTTGCAAAACCTATACAATTTCTCATTATAAGAAACATTTAAAGTTGGAGTTCTTGGTTACCATACATGTGGTGTTGACTGTTGACTTCAAGTGTCGAAAATAAAATGAAATGAAATGACCTTCTATAATTAAAGTAGCACTTAGTAATTTCTTCTGAATATTTTGACAGTATGATTTGCAGCAGTATGTATAAAAGAAAATATTTCATTTCTCAATTTTTATTTCATTTTTCAATATTTAAGAAGTATTTTCTTTTTGGAGGAAGTAAGGTCTACTTATACCAAGCTATGGTGTAAAGCACTTCATATGTTTCATCTTTTTTGAAAGAAAAGTATATGTATGTTTTCCAGCAAGATTGGGAATTTAGTGTAAGGACAAGCAACTGTCCACCAGCATATGTAATTTTAAAGTATTATAATAACTCCAGAAATTCTTCTGGACAAGACTATATTAACAAAAAGTGGATCAGTCTTGAATACCAATAGTAAAATCAGAATGAACTGAATATAAATGAATAAAATTAAAGGCCTGTCTTTCAAGTGACTACCAAGACCTTTCCCCTTTATTTACAGCTGATGAATCAGGAGCAAATCTGTCATCTACAGAGTCAGCCCAAGGTTGCCAATTTGAAAGCTTTCATGGAGCAGAACTCTGCCAAACCAGTACAGCTCAGGGATTAGGTGCACTTTAATTTGAATGTTAATTGATCCAATTAATCAGCAGGGAAACGACATTAGATGGATTCTGTTCAAAGACAAACATATATGTTCACATATATGTATGTGTGCTCATTTTTATATGGCTATATGTGTATATAAATATCTATAAACTGCTAGACTCATGTGCTTGCATATTTTTGGTGGCCCTGCTAAGTTCTTATCTGTCTAAAGATGAAACATGTTCAATGAACCGTCTTCTCTACCTACTTGTACCCTGTCTGACATTTCAAAAGCAGTGAACTATCCATAACTTTTTCTCCTTTGTTCTCATCAAGATGAGTTTTTTGAATTATACTGAAGTGTCCCTTTCATCAAAGTTTAAAGATGGATGTAGAAGAGCATACTCGTTGAGAAGCTGCCCTGGCTATTCCTGGTTTCTTTGCTTGCTACTAAGAGACATGCACTGAGAATGAAATATTTCTCTATTTTTTAATTGTTCTTATAAATCCAGTTTTTGAACATTAAGATGTGGTTGAGGAAGGGGTCAACTTACCAGAAAAGAAGGAATGGGTGCAGTAGTAAGACTGGTAAGAGTTTCCTTTTATTTTTACTCTTGCAGATCATGTGAGAGAGGCTCTCTAGCCGCTGATATACTGAACTCTGCTCCTGAGAATAATTAATGCTCACCAGTGACTTAACTAGAAGTTAACATCTCACTGTGTTCTTTCTTTTCTCTGATGGAAATAAAGGCCATATCTAATATCTACCCTAAGTGAACCGTTGAAGAATAGATGAAGGCAAGTTGCCTGAGTAGATGATCACTCTTGTGGGCCCTGGGAGACAGCTGGACAGATTCTCACATTGTTAAAACTCAACCTTGTAATTCTTTCTAGAAGCTCCTTTCTTTTGCTGCCCCTCCCCAATATTTATTTATATAGCAAAAAATAACTAGAATACAATAGTAAAGTACAGATAAAATATAATTTTATGATGCAATGCATAAATGGTTAGCCCTTATAAATGTCAGCATGTACTTTGACTCACTTTTCTAATAGCAAGGATTGTTTATTTTCATCTATTCAGTTCATTTTCTCCACTTCTTATTACATACATCTCAACAATCTCTGATAATGGCAGTATCTACCTCTGGAGATAACATAACTCATGGGCCAACATGGGGATCAAACATAACTTTCACATAATACCTGCTACTTACTCTATGCAATAAAGATTATAGTCTTCTAAAATTAATTTTGGCATTTATATCATATATAAATAATTTCTGTATTGGATCTAATCAGTATATCGAGATTAAATGGACTTTTGTTAAATAAAATCGATTAATAGAATGGTGTAACATCTATTTTAAGATAATAAAATATTTAACTCAGGTTGGTAAACCCTGGCCCATAGGCTAAATCTGACCTGCTGCCTGTTTTTGTAAGATCCATGGGCTAAGAATGGTTCTTCCATTTTTAGCTGAAAAATTCTTAAAATTCTTCTTTTAAGAATTCTTCTTAAAAGAAGAATTCTTCCTGGCAAAAATAATTATATGAAATTCATATGTTAGTCCTCTGCTTATTAGTAAACCTGTATGACAAAAAATTCTACTCAAATATTAATATTATATTTTGAATTTTATCAATTAAATTTTATTGAGATTGTTTATCCTCTTGTTATATAACTGCTCACATAGCATTCTTTACTCTCTGACACTTTATATAAAACGTTAGTTGACCCTGACTTAAATAGCATACAGTAAAATGATAAGGCATGGAAAGTGTATAAATTATACTTCTATGATAAAATTTAGTCTTCATTATTTAGCACACAAATATATACTTGTAGAGTTGTGGTACTGAATGCAATGCAATTGCTGCCAGGAACTGTGACAGAGGATGTCTTCAAGTTAATGTCTTCCTTATATGTTTCTGCCGAAAGCCTTTATTGTTAAAAAATCTTGATATTTCAGTGGGTACAAATTATTTGTAAAATTCCCACAGTTATATCTCAAGTAATCTTGTTAGTATAAGATGTTCAGCGAAGTATGTAAGTAGTATAAATTCAATGAACTATATTGGTAATTGCAACTTAGATATTTTCAACAAAAATTCTATTATTTTACATTTTCATGAATATAAAATATTCCACTCTAATCAGAAACTTACATTTGGAATCAAGATCAGATGAGGAAAGTGTTTTTGATAGAAGACTATTTTTGCTCCTGTGACTTTTAAAGTAGCAGCTTTCTAAAAATTCTGAAATTGGCCAACTTTCCAGAATAAACTGAAAAATGGATTTTCATTTAAGCACTTCCCACTAAGAGCTCATGATATTTAAGCAAGTGCTTTTCACTTACCCATATCAATATAATAAGTTTCTGTGTGAATGACTTGTATATTTGAAGTTGTATTTACTTTAGATTTCCACGAACTGATCTTTGGCTCCATTTTATTTA